GCGGAACCTACTGCCTCCACGCATATACTTTCCACGCGAAACGAGTTGTCACATGGGTTCGTGGCGTGCTTTACGAGCTCGTTTAAGGACCAGTTTCACAAGTGTCGGTTAACTTTTAATCTTAGATTAACTCACTCTTCGTCTTTTTCTAAGGAGGACGTTAGAAGGAGGCAAAGAGTGAGTTAATCTAAGATTAAAAGTTAACCGACACTTGTGAAACTGGGTCTAAGTAGAGGTAGTATTAAACAAGATAAGTTAGTCGATCATCTGTGTGAATATTTTTGGCGATATACAACTAATTTTGCAAAGCAAAAGCTTTAATACTTCGTAACTTTTGAACGAATCGTCACCGCCATTTTTTTACTCAGGGTCATGACCTTGACAACATATCAAGGTCAAGGTCATTGGCGAGTGGGGTCTTAATATGCATAATTACCATTTTATTATTTTGTGCATAAAAGTATCAAGGGAACTCGAACCTGAACTCATCGATTTGGATCACTCTACATATCCAAAGTTCCAGAGAACCAAAAATTCATCCAAATCGAAGAGTTTAAGTTTAGGGTGTTGCCTTGTAAGTAAAGGAATCATCTTATATAAAAAAATCACAATTCTATTTTAAAAAATGGCAGTTACCTTTGTACGACTTAAAAAATCGATTTTTTCAAAAATTGATTTTTTATCATTATTCTTTCTCCGAATCATACAACTTTTGTCTAAAACATTTTTACTTGCCGGCCTCAGTTTTCGAGATATTTGGCTTGACTATTTAAAATAGAATCTGTATATAAAATAATTTATCATTATTTTAATTAAATCTAATTATATACATATAGATTTACGCATTTATTACATTTGATCTGCATCGAAGTGCTCCATGAATTCTCAGACTGTTCCTAAAAAGTCAAACTTACGATCGTTAGATGCACGACGCAAATACAGATCCACAAGTATATTATATATCATAAGTCGTAGTTAAGAGGACGAGAAACTTTTCAAGAAAAATAGCATGCGTATGCGGTATGGCTGTATACTTTTATTTTCGTTTTGTCGTTTTTGTCTTTTTTTTTCCTTATGCATTAGCAACCGCTCGTGGTGTGAGGCGTCTCTTCCGCGAGCTAACATCTCGCACGATGTCTTCGCGCGTGTCGGACATAAATTTTGTTTCGTTTTTTTTGCCTGTCGTTTTTTTGTACATTTGTCATTACAATCATTAATGTCGTTAGTGTGCATTTTACAATACATTCTGGCGTATTTCCGCCACAATCAATTTTACACCGTGAAAGAAAACAGCGTCGCGCCCTGTTCGCTTCCTCTTTTCTCGTTCTCGTGGACGATTCTCCCTCGGTAAATTAATTAATTGAGATCATATCGAGCGACACGCGCAGCTCAACGTCGCCGAATGTAAACGGGAGAAAAGTGTCCGACTTTTAATTCATTTTAACCATCAACTATTTGGATCGTGGGAACCCTCGAGTAAAGTCCCGATATTCCCAATTTTGAATCAACATCGAAAGTGCGTTCCTGAGAGTGTTCCCTATATTTAGTAGATGAGTTGCTACGTCAGAAATATTTCACGAACATTCGCGTATGGAATCGGCTTTTATCTCATGAGAAGAAGAGTGTCGCGACTCGACGAAAAGATTGTGAGCAAGAGGATCCTTAGATTTCTATTTAGCTTGTTGTTTATCGACGAGTAAAATTAGGAAATCGTGAAACAAAATCCCGCGAATAAACCACAACCCGGCTAGTTTGATCATTCAAAAGCGCTCTTCGATCCGCGACACTCTTTTTCGCAAAACGCGATATGTATTACGCATGTGCGGCAACGAGAATACATTTAAATTGTTTTTGCAGTTCGCACAAGAGTCAGTCGTCATTCATCGGTTGCGAATAAATAGAGCGTGGTTAAAAATTGTACAGCGATTCATAAAGAAAATAATACTGAGCACCGTTGTTGTGCACTGAGAAAATATTGCTCAGATTGATTGAACGGACTGATACAATTAATTAACACGAGTTTACTTTTGTGTTACGTCAGCAAGAAAATGTATCTTTTTAGCGTTAATATTTTATCCTTCTCGATTCCATCCGAGCGTCACCTTTTCTCACTGCACATCCAAAGAACAAGTTGATAGACTTACACCGAGTAAATTAAAGTAATGTAACAGGCTTGTCCGGACTTTGGCATTGTAACATCACACAAGCGAACACGTCGTACACATTTTTTTTACATTCAACGGCCGCTTCCGAGTGGCCCGCAGTCAGAATCATTTACGAGAATGAGATAAAAGGCCAACGAACGAGACTGACAAAATTCTTTACATCAAGCATGCTAAACGGATCTACAAGCTAAAGCTCAGCAGAGGGAAGTAGAGCGTCCTAAGTCGTACGAATAAATACGAAAGTAAAATCGATGATTAATCTATCGGCCGCCGAGAGCTCGTAACGGCGTTACATTTGCATATCGGCGAAGGCAGTCACTGCACGACACATTCACGCGAATCTTTTCACGATTATTGCCTTCTTCGCAACGATATAAGACATACAGTGGCGGAAAGTTCCTATCGTCGATCTTAAGCCAAGCGTTTATAAAAAAAAAAATTAAAAAAAAAAAACACGTTTGACAGACAGAAAAAAAACTTCACTCGAAAGTTTCGTTATGAGCGACGTCAGTTCTTAACGTTTAGTGTTTAGTCAATTGAATTTTAATTTAAAATTTCATTGATATTCGATATCGTATGATTTACTGATTTAGTTCAGAAAAACTCGCGGTTTACATTCCAAATTGACCAAGAAACGTTATTCCAATGAGATATTATGTCCCGATAACTTGAGAGATTCGCAAGATGTAATCACATAAAAGTATAGTCATTTATTCTATTTGCGACGTAGTTACTTCGAGCAATCAAAGATTACTTGTCTGACAATGATGAAGGACAAATCTTCAATTAAGAGAGATAGACAATTTGGCCGAGAGACTGCAAAAGCAATGACTAACAAATAGAAACGATATATTTATCGTTATTTTCAAATGAAAGCGCTCACCCATCCCTTTTTAAGATCGACGATTGATTCTCATCGTAATTCTCTTTGTTTGTTTGTCGTTGCTAGTTTATTAGTAGATTGTCTTATAGTAAATCTATATCGAGGAATACTGTGCCATTTTAATCGCCACTGTACATACAGATCGTAACTAATGTTAACCGAAAGGTTTATTGCGAAATTCGACGTATCGCGACAGATAATGTATCGGTCAGTTTTCTCTTATTTCTTTCTCTTTTTGTAGAAGAATACCTCTGTGTGAAGAAGTACCGGTTAATTGATCTTACTTACTTAACTCTATTCAGGTAAATACACAGGTAAACATTGTAACTCGCTATACACAGAAAAAGAAAATCGCTTAAAATTATAAATAAATTCGGCGCCCAAGGGTTTCTGTCATCGTTAATTATTAATCTTCCACACGTTTAGGCCCGGTTGCACCAACGCCGCATTAATTAGTATTAAAATCCTGGTTAATCCTTCGTCTACAAGTAGGATTAATAATTTAAGAAAAGACAATCTCGCGCGAATCGCTAATCCAGGAATCTCGTTTAATGACTCTCGATGCAACGTGGCCTAAGTGTTTCTAGCGCAACTCTCTATAAATTAATACATACACATATCTACGGTATTACAATAAGTAATATCTACACGGAGATTGGCTGTGAAAAATGATACGATACTCTTGTTTTGAGAGAAGTCAAAATATTATCGAGGACTCGAGAATTATTGTGTATAAAGTGCGCATTGTAATTTCGACGTTATAAATGATTATTTCGAAGTTTTTTCTCCACCGTGTGTACGGCTAAAAGGTAAATGGAGAAACGCACGAAGTACGCTCGAATTGCGGCGATAACGGAGCGATGAGTTTCACCTTCATTCTCTCGTTGAACATCGCAATTCGCTAACAAGAGTCAGGGGGACTGAAATATTCTATGTAGAGCGTAATACGATGCATTTGCTTGTGACCGTTATATTCGGCGTCTCTCCGCACGCCATACCCACACATCATCACATACATCACCAGTATCAACACGCATTGCACCCAGTGATTTGTTATTAAATCATAAGAGTTTTTTACTTCCTCTCTCTCTCTTTTCTCCTTTCGCGTAATACATGCCCGCATGTAACGATATATAGATAGAATAATAATCGCGACGAAGATCAAACGAGGGACGAGTTTCGATTAGATCATCGTATTATGCCATCAAGTTGTACGTACGCATAAAATATCTAATGCCGCTTGGATCGAGATCACTACCAACTGAGGGGACATCACAGTCTGACGAAGAATTTTCTTCGTGAAACTTCGCGTGAAACAACGCGGGGAATATACAAGGTGAATTGCGTTAACGTTTCGCTGCTCGTTGAGTAAACTGAAAGCTTTGGAGAAATTAAACAAGGATATTTAGGCCAGCGCGAGCCGTGATGTGACGCAATATTTACTACGTGGAAAAAAATGATGTATTAACAGCATCAGCTAACACCAGTCCAAAAAATAATCTTGTTAATTCATTAACAGTATTAATATTAAAACAAACAAGCTAATATACTTTTAATTTAATAGAATGTCATTTATTTCATTAATACTGTCCAATAACAGTAGTTAATTTAATAAATGACAAGATTATTTTCAATTAGCTGTTAGCTAATGCTGTTAATATATCTTCTTTTTTCGTGTGTGCCATCTCGTTCAAAGTACAGTATTCTCAGTACATTCACATAATTGTTCATCGGCAAGCATTAAATGGATATTTATTCTATGGCTGGCACTGACTCAATTATCCTACTCAGATGTTCCTCTGTCTCCTTTCTTCTTCGTAATTTAGTTCGTAAGGCGATTGTACTGTACTCGGCAAACTATCCTGCACTCTGTATTTATAACATATATTTGCAGTAGCAATGGAGCAGTCGACTTTTCTATCGGCGGTTTTTCCCCTGAAAGAAATAAACGTTACTCCAATGTCGGTAATTAATCTGACGATAATCAAGTCTGTAAGACCCTGCATGATTCAGCTTTTATACTCCCCGTTCTTACCTAAAATAGATTTTATGATTGATCTCCGAGTCAATAAAAAGATTCGCCTCTCAACATACTTTTCCCACTTGCAGTTTCTCTACATTGTGCAGCAGTTACAACTACAGAGAACTGCTGTCACGAAGCTACTGAGTTTATTCTGAGTATATATCATCATTTTTTTCGATTCTCGCACACGATATCCATTTCTCTCTTTTTTTTTTAGTTACGATATACAAGAAATGTAATTATATCTACCACGCACGCACACACACATTTTTTTATGCGTCACCATCGGCAACGTTGAACACGTTTTTACACGCTTTTTCTTACTTTCCTCCTCACTTTTCTACCTCACGTGTAACACTCAAAAAGACTTTGAAATTTTTACACATCAAGCACACGCCTGCATAGGCCACTTCGACATTTTAAAAATGCGAAAGAGCTAGGAGAGATAGAAAAGGACTAGAGAAAGGGATAAGTGTTAACTGCCGCGGAAAGAAGGTAAAGCAAAATAAACAGCGATATACTTACGCGCGAAGTAATCGTTTAAATTAAGGGGAACATTTTTTTTCAATTCGAGTATCTTTGAAAGTGTAAATTTTGTTATATATATGTTACATATATGTACAACTCTACATCCAAGAATGTAATTCTTAAACGAAGAAATCTCTATGGACGCTAAGCATTTCGATATTTCTTGTTGATGATATAATCGTAGAGGGTAAAATAAAATAATAGAGTATAAATAACAAAATAATAAATAATAAATAATTTGCATGTATCTCTTAATGAAAGATCAATTGATGAATCTCTAAGGTTTCAAACTTTCATACATATGTAAACAATAAGTTTTAATCAAAAGTTCCAATTAATCCTTCCGTTATTTTGAATATGTTTTTTCCTTAATAATTTCGAGTTAAAATTGTGCCCTTAATTTTTGATTTGATTTTTAAGCACTAAATCGGATTTATATCTGCTTTGTAATTTAAAGTTGAGTATTTTAAGGCTTTCTTTAACTCTAAAATTGATACAAGCCAAATTGATAGTCAGATAACTCGGAATACTTTAATTTTTTACTTAATTTAAATTTTAAATAATTAAAATATAAATAATTTAATTTAAACTAAGGGAGAGGATGCATTGTGGAATCATAGGACAAAACTACCTATCTTCATGTTCCTTTTTCTCATCATTCGGATAATGTATTCGAATCATCTTCTCTTTTATTCTTTTTCTCGTGTAATTGACTATACCTTGATCAAGCTTTTCTTCTAAATAAATAATCTTTTTAAATTTTAATCATAGTTTGAAAAAATCAGTTCTTTTTATAACTTCAAATGTTTGTAACTTTTAGTAAAATCATAATTTTTAATAATAGTTTTTTACTTTTAAGAATACAGTTTAATAATAACTTAATTTGGAAATTTTGTTTGAAATTTGTGCGGACGCATTACTTTAATCCGTGCAAGAATTATATATTCAATCTCTTTATGCTTATAAATATATCCCCAACAATTATTTTATTTTTAGCTCAAAATATACGGGAAAAACAAACTAGCATTTTTAAATAAGAAAAAAATCTTTCGACCCTTCCCTTTAAAGAGCCTAAAAATTTATTTTACACACCCAAATGTGCGAGATACTAATAAAAGGATTAAGACTCAAAAACGAAAATATCCAAATAATTACGAATATAATCAACTCTCCAATTCGAATTTTTAAAGAATCTAAGTTTGAAGATAAATTGCAGGCGATACCTCACTAAAGAATAAAAAAGGTGAAGAGGATAAGATATTAAGCAGTAACAAAATATATGATTCTGCGACTTGTGAATAATTTGAATTTTGCGACACGATATTGATATTTTCAACACAACTGATTATACTGAATTTGCGAACATCGTATACTAGGAAATTGCGATTACGTTAACATTAATGGTGTGAATTCTAGACGTGCGTAGCTTGTATTTATATTTGTATCGGACAATATGTAGGTAGTTTCAGCCGATGAGTTTCAATAATAAGTTCGACCGGTATTAACAATATGATTGCACCAAATCAGATCGATGGGTCGATACATACTATGGGTCCGTTCACACTCTGTTCACGGTCCGCTCACGGTCCGATCATAATCCTATAGAGTATTCACACTATCGTGTGTTTTAACCTGTTATAAAGTTCGTTATAAAAATGTCGCTATTTTCTGATGAAAAATTAGTAATAATTGCTGTAGCACTGAACGATGAAGATAAGGAAAGTGAAGAGAGTAAAACAGAAAGAAAGATAAGCAAAAGATCAATGTGGGTTCATCCTAGTTTGATCAATAAAAAAACTGAAAGAGAATATTTTACATTATATCCCTATTTAATACATGATGAGGATAAATTTGTTAAATATTTTCGAATAAGTGCAGGTACTTTCGAAATGATTGTCTGATTGTGAGAACTGACGGTGGATTGAAATCAACTGTTCACGCTATCGGTGCAGGTCCGATCAAGTTCGATCACGCTCAAGTAAAATATTCTTTCGAATCGATCGTTGCTGGAGCAAACTAAAACTTGAGCGTTACCCATAGTGTGGATACGTATATTAAGTACAAACTGCAATGAAAGAATATTTGATCAAACCGTGAGCGGAGTGTGAGCAGACTGTGAGCGGATCGATAATATGTATCGGGCCTCATACTACACGATTTCTTACATTTCCATAATTAATTAACACAACCTACGTTAAATAAATTATATAAATTAATAACTTTGCAAGAAGAAAATACGTAAATCAATATAAAAGTTAACAAGCTAGAGAACATAATAATAATCCTAAAAAGTCAACTAATCAAAATAACAAAACCATTAAATTTTTCTTGTATAAGGCATGTAGTGTTTCTCTTTCTAAAGAAACAAAAAAATGAAATTTAGGAAAAGAAAATTGAGACGAGAAAACGAAATTCAGTTGGACTGAAGACGATTGATATAGATCGAATCGTGTCCGGAATCACATGTTATTTAGAAGAAAAGTATTGAGAGACTTTTTATCCTTCCCATCATATCAACGTCAATCTTGTGATGCTCGCACTGTGTACGCATTGCCTAAGCTGTCCAATTCTGGACGCAGTTTATGTTCAATCAGATTCCAATATTCAACTGTGTTTAAATTTGAAATAAAGCAATACTGGCATGAACGTTTGAACAGGCGTGGTTTGTGCAAAGATGAACGCGTTCGAGGTATCACGTAAAATACGTCGTATTCAGATAACAGATTCATAGCGCACAAACGGATCTCTTACTATCCCTCTCCTATTACACTATTACTACCATTATTAATATTATTTCGTCAACAATTTGTCAGGGAATACTTGTCTGTATGTGTATAAAATAAATGATGAATGATATAGAGAGTCCTCCTCTAAATCTCCTCGAAAACAAATAGGCATTATACAAAAGTGCACGAAGACAATATATACAGCTAAGTAATCAGTTTCCGATTGTAGACATTCTAAACTGTACAAAGTATTATGATCGAAAATCTTTTCAATTTCATAGTAATTCCCCTCGGTATACTGTCATCGCTCGACGAGAAGCATAATCTGTGGCAGTAAACAAAAACTGGATGAATCTGACGATGATATTTTGTACTACAACGAAGAAATATGGCCTATTGCATACTGGACGATGATTGTCACTCAGAATAGGGCCAGCTAAAAGGGTAAATCCCGCAAATAAACACCTAATGGCCGAAAGCGATCGTCAAGTCACGTTAATTGCACCAAACAATTATGTTATCGATAATGGGCAAACGACATATAGATACACGCACGTTTGCACCAAGTAGAATCCAAACTCTATCACCATTTACAATCTAAGGCAGTCGAATCGAAATTGCTACACGGGTGTTTTTCGGATGGCGAAACGCGATCCTGTTCTGGGAGTTCCCTTCGATGTTAGTCTACCCCGTTAGAACTAACGTCGAAGCGTTTAATAACATCCACTAGAACACAACCTTGCCCACTGTATTGCCCGAGCACAGTATCTGCTCGCGCGCGTACTTTTGCGATTGACATAACTACTAATTGATAAGACTCGAAACGAAGATAGGGCCACAAAAAAACGTGATTTTGAAATAGATGACAATAGTTTCGCACGTACATGGCGACACGTTTCCGATCTTACAGATTTTCCGTTCGGTCGCAGTCATCTCGAATAATTAATTTTCACGTCAGGAACGAATTCTAGAAATATCAATAGCAAATTAGACGAAAGAAAGATGGGCCTATCGTCATTATAGCGAGATGCACGCCGATCAGCGCTACCCGATGCAAAGTAGCTCTTCAAGGTCGCACAAGGAGCGGTCCAATTTGGATGTGGTGGCCTCACTCCATTACATATGAACGCTAATCTACTCCTGTCACTTGCATTAGGAGTATGTAGAGGGCAAGGCTGGCCCTAGGCACGTCCATGCAGCAATCCTCTACTCATCTGCGCTTTTTCCTCTTAGATCTGTTGTTCGCTTTCTTGGCAGCAGTCGAGTGCTCGCTGAGCACCTCGCGCTCCGTTTCGTTCCGCTTCTCGGCGGGCCCGTGATCCGTAGATTCCGGGGACATCTTCGAGGAAGTCAGATTGCACCGCTCGGACGCTCCGGTGGTGCCATCGCCGCTGCCGTCACCGCCACCGCTGTCCAACTGCTGTCGCGTAAGCTGAAGCTGCAAAGAAGATTCTCTTTGCGATTCTCTCCTCTCGGCAGCCACGTTACCTCGACGTGTCTCGTCGACGATGGATCGTACTTCCGGAGCGAGGAGAGGACAGCTTTCCGTCGCTTTATTATCCTCCTTGTCCCGAGAGATCTTAGTTCGCGCCATAGCAGTCGTGACGCGCGCGATATCCTTGTCCGCGCGAGGCTCTTCTACTACCGGTGGGTGAAGGTCTACGAGAATACTCTCCTCCACCGTCGTCGTTGCCGTCTCCGTTACATTGACGTTATCCTTCTCACCGAAGAGACGCTCCTTCTCCTTCTCCTTCTCCTTCTCCCACTCCTCCGCCTCCTTAGTTCTGCAGGCTCGTCGTCGTGTACTCTCGCGTTCGCGCATCGCATGTCCCGCGGATTCGAAGAACGTGGAATCGTCCCCGTCGCAGAATTCCGTTTCCTCCAGCTTTCTCGCTTGTTTGCCGGCTTCTGGTTTCTCCTCCACCTCTATCAATGGCTCAAGATCCGTGTCCTTGCAGACTTCCTGCGAATTCAAAGAAGAGGAAATGCTCTTCTTGACGATAGAGCTCCATGATATCTCTGCCAAAGATGAGGCTTGAGCTTTCAACCCTTGATCCTTGGAGTCAAACTCTGCGAATGGCTCCTCCCGCACGGCTTCCCGCACGGCTTCCTGCAGTTCCGCCATTCTCACCTTGGAAGAACGGAACGAAGGCAAAGGGGTGGAGAGAGAAAGCTCCGTTGAGCTGGTCTCCTGCGACTGGCCGTCCGACTGCAACCGCTTGCTCTTGCGAGACTTCCGAGGACGCGCCCCAGCGACAACAGGTAGGATCTTGCACTCTGGCGTCGCATCGGCATCCACGTCGGCCTTCTGCATCGCGTCGAGATCGATAATCTCGACGATGTCGCTGTCGGGGGTCTGAGAAGCACGTTTGGCAGGTAGCAGCGAGGATGATAAGTTCATCATCTTCGAACCGCGATTCTTCGCCCTTTTCGTAGGGCTCGGATACGGCCCGTCTGACTTGTCCTTAAAGTAGTCGGTGAAACTGCATCTATCGGTCTCCTCCGACTTGGGCCAGACCTCCTCCAGTGGGTCGTATATCACAGTGACCTCCGCGACCTCCGCCTCGCTCTTGTCAATCACCATAATATCCTTTCGTTTCTTGCCAGATCTAGGCTTCGTTGCTCCTTGCTGCTCCGCCACCGTCGTTTCCTGAGTCGCCTGCGGAAAGTCTCTCTGCGATAATCTCGCCACCGCATCAAGTTCTAACTCGCGGACCTCCGAGAGCTGAACGTGTTCCAGATCGTCGTCAGAGGACAATGTGTGTCTGCTATGCCTTCTACGTGGGCAACTGTCATTGCTTGCCTTTGTAAAGGATTTCATCGCGCTGACGTCACCCCGTTCCGAGCTCGTGGACTCGAAGCCAAGCTCGACACTGTGTATATACTCCAGATCGTCGTCCGAGATCGTGCTCTTACTGCTTTTCCGTCGCACTACGGGAGAGGAAAATTGCGCGATCGTGTTAACGGTCGCACCTGCGTCTTTGCATCTGCCGCCGCCCGTATCAACTTTCGTCCGCATCTGCATCACCTCAGACGCGTGAATATGCTCTATGTCGTCATCGGATTGGGTAGACGTGGAGGCGGCGTCTCTGCCGAGATTGCACGGCTCCACCATGTGATACTCGATGGAGCTGAAATCATCGAGCGGCGGCGGATCCAACGGCGGCAGTTCGTCGTCGTCCTCATCTCCGTCATCGTGACTAGACAGTAATCTTGCTTTCTCCACATCCAACGGGGGCTTAATAGGGTTTCCTCTTTTCACGATTACGTCGGCGATCGGTTCCGTCGACTCGGACAGGTCGATAGAAGATACCTCTCTCGCGCGTATAATCTCTTTGTCTTCGAGCGTAACTCGATCCTTGCCAGGGTATTCCCGCGGAGAAGCGCGGCTTTTCCATTCGTCATTCTTTCGCATCACCTCATATTTGTCTCTCGCTATCTTGGTATCTTTCGCGCCCTCAACTCTTTTTTTATCGACGTCATTATCCTCTTTCTTTGCACCAATACTCATCGCCGAATCCGCATTAACGCATCGCGCGTCCTCGAAGACGACGCTATCCTCGTCCTCTTTGACGACGTATTTTTCCGCGCGTGTCAGCCGCTGTTCAATCGGACGTTTCTGCGGAATCCTGAAATTCGACGTTTTTTCGAAATCAATGACGGCTTTTCTCGCGATAGGTTTCTTGATTTTCTCATCTACACTCGGCTGCAATATTTCGATACTCTTCTCGCTTCGCATCGTCTTGTTCTCCATCAACGTGACGCTGTCGTCATCGTAGCTGACGACGTACTTAGCCTTGGCGAGATGCCTCTCGTGAGCCTCGTTGCAATAATACTCGGTACGCCTGTCGACGGATATCCCCTTGCTGCACCACAACGCATTCTCTTTCGCCTGCGTCATCGGGCTGCTCGGGATCTCACCTGGTTCGGCGCACAGGCTGAGACTCGTCGGCACGTCGCGGAACGCCTCCTCCTTCTCGTAGTCAATCGACGTCGTCGTCGTCGTCGTCGTGGCCGCCATCTCCGCGCACAAGGCGCGACGTTCCTGCAGCTCGCGTATGTTCTCGTCCGGTACACTGTCGATCGCCGGCTCGCTTGCCGAGCGCATCTCCGCGCAGATCTCGGTGAGCTCGCGATTCAGCGCCCGGCTCTCCGGCTCGTCCGGGAGGTCGGCCGCGCCGAGCGAGGCCGGACCCTCCTCCGCGCACACGCTTCTAGGTGCGTGGATCTCCTCCGCGGCGGAGTCGTACTCCTGTATGGAGCTAATAGCGTCCTCATCCTCGTCGGCCGACACGGTAATCACGGTGCCGGTGTGAGGGTTGACGACTTTAGTTACCGGCTGACCCACCCTCTCAAATACCGTACGCCTCCCTAGTAACAGAAAAAGCCGTTGGCAGGTATCAATATCACGAGTTGCTGCTCACGCGTGTCTCTTTCGCTCGCTCGCTCTCTTTCTCTCTCTCTCTCTCTCTCTCTCTCTCTCTCTCTCTCTCTCTCTCTCTCTCTCTCTCTCTCTCTCTCTCTCTCTCGCTTTCTCTTAAGTTTATCTCTTTATTTCGCCCTCTTTCTTCTTTTCTTATTTGCAGTGATAGTTAGCTCGCTCGCATGCTCGCTCGGGATTATATCATATACGAGTACAGTTTCGTTGACGAGTAAACGAAAAATCACAGCGGAATCGTTCAGATTTAAAGAAAGTGTATGTAATGCGAGTTCTGGTAGCTATAGAAGTCGGTGCTTGACAAACAAATTCTCGAGCGTCTCAAGTATAAGAACGCAAAAGGAATTGTCTAATCCTTTCGAGTTTTTTCCCCCCATTACATTCTGCATTTGCACACTCCGCGCGCGTGTCGATTACGCGGGGGTCAAGTCAAGACAAACTTAAGAGAAACACATCCGTCCGTATCGTAATCGCAAAATAGTCTCATTCTAATATATACACAAAGCTAAAAGCTCGAGCAAAATGTGATGGATCTACATGGTTAGTATAAAAACGTAATACCATTTGTCGGACATTTCTTTTCTTCAAAGATACAAAGAGCAGACGTCAACAAAATATCTTGCTGTTAGTGCTCGGATATAGTAGTTACGGGGACAAAATGGAGATACCTGCCTCTGGCCAGTTCTGTGTCCACGCAAACGCTTACAACGCTAACGATTTCATCCTTTATCATGTTCGGAAAACATATCACAGAAAAAGGAAAGAATGGCTTACGAGTATCTTTTTTTTTTTTATTTGGAATACACCTCAGGTTCCGTAATATACCGTGACAACGTCATCGTAAAAAACGCTGATATAAGCATAATTATTTTTCTTTTTTTCGAGAATTTTATTTATTTGTTTCTCGTTATTGTTAATAAAGAAGCGGTATGTCAAAACGCGCGCCAAATATCATGTTAAATTTCACGCGGATTGTATACCCTGCAAGCTTTGCGAGCTTAAATTCATATGTTTGAAAAGTATGTATAGATACACACACATATATGGTATATTTTTTTCAAGTTTTAAGCATATACGCTGTTATTATTTTTAAATAGTTATAAAAAAATGTTTCGAATAAAAGTTTTGTTTAAGATCAAGATATATGTTTAATTATATATATATATATATATATATATATATATATATATATATACACTTGTGTAATATAATATGCAAGAGTCGAGAAATCATATATACAATGTCAAAAATTGTATTTGTTTAATGAAATTCGGTGAAAATACTTTACAATTGTCAAACATAAGAACGAATACAATGACTGTACAACATGGTAGTGTAGAATGCAGGCAAATCAGGTAAAAATAAAAATAAAAACATAAAATACCGCCAATACCTTTTCCACAACTATTCCTCTACACTGACAAAATTATTCATTATTAGGAAATAAAGATTATAGTACAGATCACATAGAGCAAAGTATATCGAATAAATACAAATTACACGGAATATGTTTAGTCGCTTCTAAGCGGCTAAGCGGATCTGCATTCGTAAATTTGGTGCCTTCGACTAAAATGTAAAACTCCGTTGCACGATTGCGCACTTACCTGGAGCACGATGCGACGCGATTGATATCTCGAGCATAGCCTCCGCGAGATCCTCTCTCAGTTGACTTTCGCAGCTACCAACGGCCACGTTTTCGCTGTCCAGAGGATCACCGTAAGCTTCCATGAATCTTGGTGATTGCTCATAACTGCCTACAAAGTATAAAGATCTTACTCTCTTGTAAATAATGAATTTATTTTATTCTTATATCATAGATTTTACTTTCTTTTTAAGACTAAAATATGCGATGTAACTCACAGCTTACCGATAATTATTGCGCACTTACTTCCTGATCCGTCGATGACAACTGGCATCAACGGCCTGGTCGCCGCATGGGGCATATTAACGGGCTTCGATCTCGCTGGGCGCGATCCCGTGATTCCAATCTCGACTGCCTCCGCTTCAACCAGATTGACAGCAACACTAGTAACGATCGATTTTCATTAAATCCCGTTTTTGATTTGAAAAATCATGATTAATCGGTGGGAATTAAGAAAACCAACCCGCTAGGTGCGTTATAAGTCTTGAAAACAAATTGTGGTCCCATCCACAATCGCCTGTGTGGTCCAGCGTGCGTCACGATCTCCACTTGGCTTAACCAACGATCCTCAACCGTGTCAAATTTCTGATTGTTTTTTGGCGCGAACGAAACGCTGAGCAATGGGTTCGACAGAGATAATGGTAAGATGAGATCTGACGAATTAGGGGATCTACAAAGTGGCCACTGGCCCTTCGCTTCGACCTCCAATTCAATAGTAGTGTCGTCGCAAACCTTTTCCTTTGGCACCCCTAAAACAAGTAAAAGCGAGCATTAGGTAACATGCAGAAAAAGAATTTTGAATCATATAGATAAATCTCTCTTTAAATTCTCTCTTTTGTAAAATATATAATAAGGTGCATTTATATCTGTGATATACCAGCAGCTGGTTTAGGATCCAAATCGTATTGTATCATGTTTCCATGACACGCCATGATAAACAGAGAATCGACCGCTCTTTTGACAACTTTACTACTGGACTCCCTTTGCGCGTACATCCAAGCTCTCGGCGGAGCGAAACACGCACAGATCTTCAACGGTAAAGATCCATTGTCGTCAGAATGTAACCGTTGCCTTTGTTGAGGTCTGCTATAAAATACACAATATCTTTTAATTACACCTTTATAGCTTATTGTTCCCCGTAAAATTAGTTTTCTACAAAACCAGTAGCTACCTTGGCTGCGTGGAGCTGTTGACCTGATTCAAAGAAGACGGCTGCCGAATCTGCGACAGAGGATGCAATATCGTCGGATGAGGATACGGAGGAAGTCTAGGATTAGAGTACGGATATACAGACAAAGGTAATTCCGTATGAGACACAGGAGAGTGGGATCGGGTACCGTCGTCTGTCAAGCCTGCGCTTTTGTGGAATCTCGATAGTCTGTTGACGACATTGGGCGTGGAATGCGTCCTGACACCAACAGGACCTCCATAAGGCGCGACGGGAAAAACATGCGTTGTACCTCTCACGGTTGAAATAGCCGCCCAACGTGTATCGCTCGAAAATACCATGTCCTAATGCAGTAAACATACGGTAAATACATTTATGTAAAGAACTAGTAAGTTTTAGCAAAGTATGTATACAAAGTGCAAGCAGTGAAGATGTAGGAATGTATACCTGTACTTTCGCGGTGGTATCGCCACGATGTAAAATATATAGGTGATGCACCGCTGCTAGGGTCGGCCCACCGGGATGCGGCTGGATTCTAAATATGTGGAAGTCATGTCCTCTCTTGTCCGCTGTCATTAATAACGCACCGGTCAAGTCGAAAGTCATGGCAACGATCGCATCGCTATGAGCGGTAAAATGAGCGATTACGGCATCCGCATTCGAGTCATCTAACTCTTTCTCGTCTCTCGCGACCTGAAGATCTAATATCGTAACGACGCCCGGTTGCGTTACGTCATTGCCCGCGTTATTGATAGCCATCGGTGACACCGAATTCCCAGTGAGACTCGACGCTACGGTTTCACCTAATCCGCGAAGACCTTTCCCCAGTGACTTTGCCGCGTATAAAACCGTCGCTGTGTAACTTTGAACGCCTTCCCCTTCGCAGCCACCGCTGCTTCTTCTCGCGGGTATTAATTTTTTCTCGCTGCAAACATCATAAAGAGCAATTATTTCAGATCTAACACACGCAAAACATACAACCGTATTGCAGAGAGTATTGAAATCATTAGAAAACAAAAGACAAAACGTATGTAAAGTTGCATACCTGTAAGCGAGCCATCGCGTTCCTAAAGTGACAGGATTTGGATTTGGGCCAGGGCTGGCATAGCAAGTCGTGATTGTTATATTATTTTGCAATGTTCTGGCATCGAAGACCGCAATTTTTTCTAATAACGTTATGACCACGGACCGCCTGTTCGCCAGCACGTCGCAGACTGGATGCTTGAATCCTACGCTGTGCACTTGCTCGCCGGTTTTCAAGGAGATGAAGTTGACATCGCAAAATTTTGGTCCCGGAAGAGTCGAATCCGGCTCGGAGCAGACCGCTACCATCGGCCGTTTCGCTTCGAATTCGTCGACGTGTTCGTCGTCAGTCTTTGGATTTGGTAGAATTCGAAGGGTACGAACCACGCCTTGTCGCCATGATAGGACTTCCATTGCCTCTCCCGTCGCTGCTATTAGCCATACCTGCGTTTACGATTGGTAATTATTACAATCAAACGAGAACTTAAATCTTATGAAAGAAACATCAATCGGACAATGCTAAGTAGGTACCGAAAAGTCAAAAAGCGTGTTTCAAAGCAACGCAATAACATTTACCTGAACGCCAACCGCGTATCCTAATACCAACAACAACGGCGGCGTATTGGAACCTTCATTGTAATCGGGATATAAAGCAGGGTCATTTATATCCGCGTATTCAAACCGCGCCCATGATATGGTTTCCTTATTATCAGAGTTGGATACTCCGGCGTATCCCTGCAAGATAATAACAAAGATAGTAATACTTGTATTATGATACTAAGATCTTAATCAACTTGCATACCTGTGGTACTATATCATTGATGATCCCAGCGACGCTATCGATAATTGATCGATCTACTATGGGCTGAGGTGAAACAACTTGAGCTCCTTTATGCACACCTCGCCTCGGCGATTCCGCAGACATTTTTTATTCCCGAATTAATTTTACCTACCTGTAAAGGCAGCAAAATCAGAACAGAAATACAGAATATAGATGCTCCATCGTTTTAATTTATGCATTAAGAGCTCGTAGATTTTATAATAATGTAAAACATACCAACTCCCTTAACGCATAAATTAAGAAGATAATATTTATGTAGATTATCTAAAGAGATAAGAAAATCTTAAAACACTTATTTAATATATCTATGGAATATTTACGGTCTCAGCGTGTGACAGATTATTTAAAACTCAAATATTTCGAACATCACCCGAGAGTTTCGCATTTAGTCGCGCACTTTGATTTCGATTCTGCTCGCGATGAATCACGTTAGAAAGTCGTGTTCGAAAGACAATTTACAAACTTTCCGATTAAAATTCAAACTCTGTTAACTACATCTTCAAGACACAAACAAATAATCCCATAGAATGTACATACAAGAACTGCGCTAGTATGTACATACTACATACAATGGAAAGGCTCGCTATCGTGCGACGTTCACGACACCGACGAGCAACACGAAGGGACGAACGGAGACAAAGGAGGACAACACTCGCCGCGTACTCTTGCCGAGATGCGCGTCTCGTAAACAGATGAGCGAACGACGGTCAGGGAGGAAAATAAAACCTGGCCCTCCCTGGCCTGCCGCGCGCGCGCTCACCAGGAGGGCGAGGAAAAATAATTCGTGCGACGACACGCGGGAGTTACGGGAGACGAGGGTCGATCGTGGCGTTCGCGTAATCATTGCGCGCGGAGGACAAAGAACCCATGTTCAAGGTGCACCGTTCGTAGACCGTCCCGACGACTGTGCGAGTCGCGGACGTCACTGCACGTCGCGACGCCGTCGTCACGCGATCGTCACCCTCACCGTCGTCGTCGTCGTCGTCGTCGACGCTGAATCCCGGGCCGTCTCACGAAGCGTCGTCGTCACGCGGTGCATTATTCAACGCTCACGAAAAGTAGGAAAGCGCATCGGCCCGTCCGTGTCCGTACGACGGTGGTGGTGGTGGTGGTGGTGGTGGTGATAGTGGTGGTAGTGCGATGTGTTGACGACGACTGACGACTGACTGCGCCGACTGCGGACTGACGGTGGGAACTGTGGGAAGTGGGAACCGAACGGAGCAGGACGAGAGGGAACGGGCGGGAAGGGGGAATCTATTTTGCCAGCCGTGCGTCGGCCGTCTTAAAGAGAGAGAGGAGGAAAGGGATACGTTGTGTTGCACAACGCGAGCGCACAGCTGTGCGCGGATCGCGCGCTCAGGGATGATCGACGGGAAAGTCACGAAACGGGAAGGAAAGAAAAGGGCGGACGGCGCGTCGTTTGTCGCTCCTGTAAACAAGAGGACCGTGAATGCAATAAGGAAACCGAATTAGAAAATAAACGGACGGACCGATTCGGATGCACTCGCGACGCACTCCGGAGCCGTTTACGCAACCGCGTAAAAAATAAAGCGACGGCGAATCGTCGTTCGACCAACGGTCGGGCGAGGGCGAGGGCCGAAGGAGACGTAGGGAAATCGTCGGAGGAATAAAGGGATCCTCGCTTATCGTCGCCACGCGTTCGTTCGACGTTCGTTAGTTGTCGAACGACGAGAACGTCGGCCGTTGTGGTCGATAAGCGAGAAACGGAACGGAGAGACCGATCCCACCGTACATATACATAACACACTTACTTCACCGCAAAACTTCACCGTATTTTCATCATTGTGCGAGGGGAAAGTAAAGAGAGAAAGAGAGAAAGAAAGAAAGAGAGAGAGAGAGAGAGAAGCCGAGATAGGAGAGCCCGTCACTGCACTCCGCGCGCGCGCCACCGCCGCTGTTGCCGCTGTCCTCCGTTTACTGCGTCATTCTGCGTCCCGCGAACGACTGACAAGCCAGCGGACGTCGCGGACGACAGTGGCTATGATGTCACGCCAGCGCGCGACCGCGCGCGCGGAATACGCGAACCGGGTTCCCCCGGTTCCCCGGAGTGTCTCGGGCGGTTTTTTTTTCCTTTTCTTTTTCTTTCTTTCTTTCCCCCGAGCCGCGCGAGAGAGCACCAGGAGAGAGAGAGAGAGAGAGAAAGCGAGCACGGCAGCAGCAGCACGACCCACGGAACACACACGACAGACGAACGGACGGACGGACCGCGCCTCCGCGTACCGTACCTCGGCGCACGGGCGACTTCGCATCAGACACCGCCGACCGCCGCGCGCGCGACTTCGCTTCCTCTCTCGCGTCCTTCCCTCCGCTTGTCCGTTCCCCTGCGGATCCCTTGCTGCTGGCACAGCGGGCACGAAGCGACTACGCATGTATGTATACATACGCGCGCGCGCTCACGCTCGCGGGAAGCCTGCCCTCCTCCTCTCCTCGCGCGCACGCACACGGAGGCGGAAGAGAGAAAGGGTGGGAGGGTGGGAGAAAGACAGTGCTCGCGGTTTCTCGGAAACAGAAACGGGCGAGAGAAACGCGCTGGGAACAGTGGGAATGTCGAGGTTGTATGGCACGCTTATGTATGTACACACGTATGCGCTACGTCGCGCCTCGCGCCGCCACGGCCCGCTCCGTGTCAGAGAAACGAAAACAATAATCAGCTGATTCGGCAGCTGGATCTACTCCGCGGGGTAGAGCGTAGAGCGGCGGGCGGCGAGAGTCGCAGGTCGCAGTCGGGGCCACGGGGTCGGGGTCGGGGCTGACCGCGATCGGGGACGGATCGGAAAGCAACATGAGCCGATGACGGCGATGAGCGCCACATCTTGTCTGCGATCATTTTGCATGGTTATGAGGATTGAATGGTCGACGATCTCCCTCTTTCTTCGCGAATGTTTGTTCTTACAGGAGGAAGAGAAAGAACATCGAACTTCCATTATTTCTTCTCTTTCTAAGGCTGCATTCCGAAATTCACTGTCAGCAACTTTCAGTACTGAAAATCTATAGTAAACGTGACGTAAAATATAGATTTGCAGTACTGCCCTGGTAACCAGTTTGCTAGTTCAGATGCGTCCCGAAGAAGTGCGCAAGAAATCAGTCCAAAATTGCGACAAAAGTGCATAGTATCTGTGATTGAACGAGTACTGTTGTTAACGGGTGTATATCCACAGGTCCAGGAATAAATCAACTTCCATGTATACAGTACAAAGACTATCGTATATTCGTCTCGAATATTACAAAATATGTTAGGTTATATTGAAAGGCGCCTTTCTATATTTCAAGGAATACAGACTCAGCAGTTTGATATAACATTCAATTTAGGACCTTAGTCTAATCATAGAAATATCGTAATACAAACGGATCGACATTCCACCATCTTAATCTTTGGCATAGATTAGAACGAATGAGACTAGACCAAGAGTTATAACTAGATATAAGAATTACAGTCGGTAAGTTAGAATTCGCAAGTAGGTAACAATATAAAATAATTACAACTTAACAAGTACTTACTGTACTATTGCAGTAGTCTGCTGTAAGAAGCTACTGTGAAATTTTATACTATTTGTTAAAAGTAAACATGTAGCAGAAATGTGAAAACAATATGGAAGTATCTTTTGAGTACAGATCCAACCGGCAGAAACGTGAAAAGAACGTGCAAGCATCTGCCCGTGAGAAAAAGAGCAGTCGAGTGTG